TAAGACTTTATTAGCAAGGAAGTATAAAAACTTCTTGCGAACATCTTTTTTGTGTGTGGTCAGAGGATCAGCGGAAAATTATAATAAAAGTTTTTGTTTTTTGTCTCGATCATTTATTTAAATAAAAGAAAAAATGAGAATTCATGTTATACATGAAGAATGGATACTGGAAAAGACCTTATGGCCGGAGAACAGCGCACAATAGAGATGCTTAAAAATGAAGACATGCCTTTCACAAAAATCAGCTGAATAATTGGACAATCAGTAACAGCAGTCAAAAATTACCTTACTAGATTGAAATCAACTGGTTTTACTGATTATCTCAAGAGGGAGCATAGTGGATGCAAATCGATTATCGATAACCGTTTTAAACATCAAATTATGTATGAAATTAAAGCAGATTCGTCAATGAGAAGGATGATAAAAAGTTTACTTACTACCTTACTACTGAAATTTCACACAGAACTCAAGTTTCCATGTCTGCATGCACTTTAATGAGATTTTTTAAAAGAAAAAAAATCAAATCCTACATTGCAAGAAGAAAACCTATAATCAGTGAAAAAAATCATATAAAGTGATTAAAATGGGCAAGAACATACAAAAATTGGACTAAAAAGGATTGGCAATGGGTTTTATGGACAGATGAATCTACCGTGAGTACTGATTCAAGTGGAAAAATTCGGGTCTGGTGTCATAAGGATGAACTTTATAATCCAGATTGTACACAAGTGATAGTCAAAAGTGGACGAACATCAATTATGGTTTGGGGATGCATAAATGGGCAAGATTTATGACACCTAATTTGTACTTCCTCTCGTATGAATGGAGAGGAATATGGTAATCTCATTTTGGATGCCATTTATCCAATAACTTTGGTTTCTAGAGAAGGAATACTACAAGAGGATAATGCGCCAATCCACAAGTACAAACTTGTGGAAGAACTTAAATCCGAACTTGGGATTGTGTCTATGGAGTGGCCGCCACAATCGCCAGACCTCAGTCCAATTGAAAATGTCTGGAAAGACATCAAAAATTGGATCTATAAGAACCGAAGTCCATGCAATAAATCTGACTTGGAGGAGGCTGTTACTGCGGCATGGGAAAATATTGCATTCGATAAAATTTTGGGTTATATACAGTAGATACAATGCCAGATCGTGTGAAAGAGGTTATTAAAAAAAAATGGCTATGCAACGCATTGGTGAATTAGTTTTTGTGTAATAAAATAGATATAAAATATGGGTTAATTTTCGTTGTCAAAAATCGTCCCAATTTTGTGTCACCCGTCTGTACGTACAAAAAATCTAGGCTTTTAGCATAACATAGATTAACCAAAATGGAACACATACGTGAGCTAATATTTTATAATTAATAAATGATATGTGGATAAATGGTTTCATTCAATTAATATTATTAATCTAGGCGGTAAAGATATCGTGCACAACATTATTTACATCACCTGTACTGTACAGTGTGCCTTTTTTTGTATACCGTCAAAATTATATTTATGATTTTCCAAAATTCAGTATATATTGGCTAAAAAGAAATATCATGTATACAAGAAATATCTAAACGTTATACTCATGTTCTTGCTACGTTAATGTTGATATTTTCTTCACATTGAAAAAAGGATAATATTCAATATTACAAGAGAACAATTTTATAAAGATATCTGATCTATTTCGATCTCGTGAACAACAAGATTCTCAAAAAAAAAAAAAAAAGAAAGAAAGAGAAAATTTTTACACTGAAAATTATTTACAAAAAAATTTCTGCTTCAATATAAGTAATGTATAAGCAAACAAATTGTAAAATTTAGATGAAAGAAGAAACAATCTCAAATCGTTTCTTTAAACAAGCGAAATCTTTCAGTACTCCATCCAATTCTCGTTTCCAGAAAACGCAGAATCTCCAATATAATCATTTACTGAGCTTGTAAACAATGGTGGTATGCCGCTAGGTCCGTATAGCGATGACTTGTGTAACGATGAATTGAATATAATGGGCGAAACTGAAGAGGATATCACGTTCCGAGAGGAAATTTGGTCGGAAATCTTGCTACTTTTATTTAAATCGATTTCTCGACTTGTGACATTTTTAATATTGCCATTTTTGCTATCATTATCATCGTTATCGTCAAGTTTTTCATCAAAAGTCATACCCACACCTGAATCATATGAATTTCTTCCTTCCGTCTTGGGAGACGAGACATAGGGAACATAAATCTCCTCGTCATTCGTGAAATAGGAGGGTGAAAATCTTAGTGAATCTGATATAGGATTACGCCGAGTTTTCATGTCGGAATATATTGGTGACAGTGGGCTAAACACTTCTTCATTGTTATTTTGAGTTAATCGAGTCTTCAATGTAGTTCGCGATATAGAGTTCTTATCGTGAGTGGAAGCCCCATTGTTATTGTAATCATCGCCATCTATGATGTTTACGAAGTTATATAGATCAGAAGTACGAAGGAGGAAGGAAGAACCAAATGTACCTAGGGGCGAGGCACAGTTGTCGGTGGGAGGGAGATATATCTTATTTTTGTACTTCGAAGGTGTTTTTGGAACATTAACTCTTAGTGAAGGTTTATTAAAGTGGGAGGATGAGGATTTCTTCTTGGAGCTATTGGTGAAAGTAGAATCTGAGGGCTGAATGCCGAAGAACGACGAGAAACTCATTTTTGTGTAATCAAAATTTGCAATACACTGTGGTTTATACAGATAGGAATTTCATATACCTTTATATGCTTTTTTTTTTTTTCTCAATCAATCAAATCACTGAGTCATCCTGTGCCAATTTGGAATTTCAATCTATCAAAGAATTTCTAAATTGAGAAACTCAATTCTCCTAGCCGTATGCACATGCTGTGCCCCTGTCCCTCACACAACGTAAGCTTTTTACCAATGTATATGAAGCAATACGTCACCGAGGACATATTATCAAGTATTGCGTTTCACTATGTGGCACAAGGACGGTGTTTTAAGGTACGCGTTTTTATAATTGACGATAACCAACAATTCTTTTAAAGGACATGCTGAATTTTCTTTCTTTTTTGAAATATTCTTGATAAGCCCTCCAGGAGAACCACCAATAGTAAGCGGCAATTACGCGATAAGTTTATAAAAATTGCAGTTACTAATTATTTCGATAAAAATTTCTGCAAAGCACATTATGTAATACATAATTTAGCATACACAATGTGAAAATATGAGCACAACGGATTCGGAAATTTGCGAATTTGGAATTTTTATTTTTAGTATTCGTAAAATTCCATTTCACGCCCTTGGTTTTGGATTAAAAATTCTTTATTATTCTTCAAGGACCATGATCAGTCATCAGCCATTTATCAAAGGAAATACGGCACGTTTAAATTTGTCGAGAAAGTGGGACGCGAATTCTATTTAAAGATTAAAAGTTGCATTTCATCTGTCAATTCCACTAATAAAGTCATGTGATTAATATACTATCGTTTAATAACATAAAGATTGTATACACGTTTGTTAAAAATAAATCCAGTCTCAGTTTAAACCAAAAGTATAACACCATTGTTCTTATATTTCGAATAATGTTGGGATTTATCAGTTACCCAAAAAAGTAACGCCCGCTTTTTTGCTTTTTTAATAATATATAGTGGCACAAATTCTTTACGTAACAATAGGTAAGTCAAATCTCGATAAGGCAAAAAAAAAGTATTGGATCTAGATATTCGATTGTGCATATAATTAATTATAGATAGGAATAGCTTTGTGTAATTTCAATGATGTAACTATATAAGATTCGTCTTTAAATAATTACAATAAGAATAAAATAATAATAATAATAATTTAATTGTTTTTCTTTATTATATGTGTAATTATTTTTGAAAGTATTAAAAAGATTAATTAAAAATTTTCAGTAACTTTTTTTGAATACATAATTTTTAATGTTCTTTTTTATATCCCTTTTTACATTTAGTAATTATTAATTCTTAATTATTAACTATTAACTATTAATTATTAATTATTAATTATTAATCCTTGATTATTAGTCTTAATCATTTGATTAATCAATTAATAATTACTTTAATCATTTAATTAATCAATTAATAATTACTTTAATTATTTAATTAATCAATTAATAATCACTTTAATTATTTAATTAATCAATTAATAATCACTTTAATCAAGATTTAGTCAATTAATAATTATTTTAATCAAGATATTAATTAATTAATTTTTATATAAATAGAAAATTTTTTTTAAAATCTTCTTTACTTTTTTTTATAATGTTTTCTATAAATCTTAAAAAAAAATTTTTGTTCTTTATTAAATAAATATAACTCTTATCTATTATTTTTTAATTTATATTCTTCATCACAAAAAAGTCTTATTCTTCTATTATATATAATACTATTTTACAATTATCTAATAATAAACTAATTCAATTTTATAATTATTTTTCAAATTATTTTTATATTAAAAAATCTTTTTTCTAATACATAAAATATATTAAAAACTAATTAGGTTCTTCACTAAATATAAATCTAATATTTTATTGTTAATTACTGGTTTATATAATAAATTAGAATTAAAAAATCTTGATTTTAATTTTAGTAATAAACAATTTAATACTGTTTTTAAAAAAATTAATAATTAAATATTTAATTTATTGAATTATCAAAGAACTATTTCTCCTTTCAAATTAAAAATTAAAAAAAAAAAAAACCTTTGAATTAGTTATTAAGTTTCTTTTACAAATTCTAGACTTTCAACTTCTAAATGTTCTTTTATTAAACTTTCTTATTTCTTAGAAAATATTATTATCAATTATAATTTATTTATAATTTATTATTTAAAAAAACCTAAAAAAACAATTCACAATAAATTAAAAACTCAATATTCTAATTTAAAATTGAGTTTGAATAAATTTTAAAAACTTTGTTTTCAAAATTTTAAAAAAGCCCAAAAAATGACTGATATGTATTCAATTTGTATTAAAAGAAAAAAATTAAAAATTAAATTATAACAAATTAATTCATATAATGGAAAAATAGTTCTATTATTAATCAATTACAAACTGAAATTGATTTTTATAAAAACATTTTTATTTTAAAACTTAATAACAAAAATTATATAAAATTCTCTTGAATTAACAATATCTATATCTTATATTATTGTTATGAATTTTAAAAGAATTTTAAAATTGATAGTGATTTAATTGAAATAAAAAAAAAAATTTATAAAAAAATACAAATATTACTTTTAAGATTTATTATTTTTTATAAAAATAAAAACAATATAATTCAAACTTAATATTCAATTATTTTTCAAAAATTTTATATTATAATTTATTATTTATGACTAATTGTATTAAAAAACTTCTTTCTATTTCATTTATATTATAATATAATGCAATTCAACTCTTTTCGCTGATCTTCTGACCACATACAAAAAAGACGTTCACAAGAAGTTTTTACACTTCTATGTTAATAAAGTCTTAAAACTTTTCTTAAACCAACTTGAAAAAACTTCAAGAGTCATCAACACTTCCCTCCCTTCTTGTTATTACTTCTCTTTGAACAAAAACCTGACTGCTAGTGACCAGAAAGTCAAGCAATATCTTTTCTACCAAAGGTAAGAAAGTTCTGAAAGGAAGAAAAACTGATGTGCTATCATCTCACACCGTAGAGAAATACCATAGAAGTCTGTAGATGATAAGAAACAACTTTCCCACTCTCTTGTCATCATATTTACTTCTCATAGTGCTCATTCTTAGTTTTTTCTGGGGGATTTTGCCTACCTCAGTTTGACCCTGAATTTTGAGTAGCACAAAGTTTCTCACATTGTGATTGAACAAATAGAGCTCACATCAGTAAAAAAAGTAAACAAGCTTCCATTGGTCACCTCACGTGTCTGAATGTATTTCCTCAGTACCCATAAGAACTTGGGGTCTACCATAAGTTGCATGCCAGTCACACAAGTGGATACAGGACATGAAAATCATGACGTCATTGGCTATACGGAAAGAACAAGACTGGATTAGGCTACCTTGAATAAAAAACAACCTGACCCCTCATTCCTTCTCCAGCGAACACAACCATTACACTCAGGGTTAGTATCTTTTTGGAGGGTTTTGATACTCCCATCCGCTTATTGGAACCACTTACAACAACCAGCTAAACAACATTACATTCCTCTGGACAAAATTTGACTCGAACACAATTCTTTTTTCTTTTTAAAAATTTTTGGTTAAGCACTAGTGGAGTTAAGACTCCATATGGGTAGTTCTTAATATCGGTAGTGCTGGGTACCCCAGGTGAATCCTTGACACATTAGCCTCCTCTTTTTGAGATAGTAATAAGCCACTCAGTGGGCCAGCCAATAGTCGTGCTCTAGGGAGTGTCAAGGTATAGAATAGAAAATTGACACAGTGTGTATTTACATACTCCTCGTCTTTTTATGGTTTGTTTTTGTAAGTAGATACCTACACTAGATGGTCATGTAACTATCTTATCCTGGTTGGGTGAGATGTAAATAGG